AGTGATGCGTGTGGGATATCCAGGGTGATCCAGTGTATGTGAACAGTGAGATGTTTGGGCGCTGAAGTCGCCATAGCCATTTGAGAGTGAACTCGTATCTGAAGCCATATCTCTGAGTTTTGAGTGGGCGCATGTCGCCAGTGTGCTGCGTTACTGTTTACRTGTGTGAAAAGTGTGTTTGAAAACGAATCTGATTGCATGAGGAAGGGGGGTGAGTTATACTCCATCTCAGAGTCCTGGCCACTTTGGTAAGTGTCGTGCACCTAAGGGTTGCCCATGTGTGCGTGCATGGTATTGTTTGTCCTGTTGGGGTACTTTTGGGTCTCTTTCCTACTCCTATGAAGTGTAGGTGGTGTGCATTGTTGTGCAAACTACTTACTGACCTGATGGATGGAGAGATGAAGTATATTGCTTTGAATGTCATATCTTTCTACAGTGCTTTGTCTTTTCATTTTGAGCGGATGTAGTCAGTAGGTTCTCTCTGAAAAGTTTAATTTCGTTTTTCAGTACGGTAGAAGCTGAAAGTAGGACCTTGTGGTCCTCTTCTTGCTTGGGACTTGGTCACGACCTACGTGGGACCCATTGGGACTCTGTGGGACCAGGCCCAAACAAGAAGGGCCCCTTGGACCCAAATTTGTTGACGCAGTGTCGCTCTCTTTTCTGTCTGGAATCGGTTGTTCTTCTTTTGGTTAGAACACTCGTTGTCGAGGAGATCTCGACTGAGATGTTTTGCAGACTGATGACGCACAATCTGATGCTTGACCTACACCTTATACACCACTCAATTCTCATTGTTGTATGTCGTCACTTGTAGTCTGATTTGTTGTACTTCGACGGTGTCGATCGGATTAGGCTCGAGGGGATCTCGTACGTGGTCTGACCGGACTAAAACGCGGAGTCAGAACTCTCTTCTGAATTATTTTTTTCCTTTGGTTGCTCTCTAATCCAAATACGTCGCCGCTCCGGCTAGGAGTTCTACCTTCTCTCCTTTGTGCTTTTCAGTTCGTTTCTTTTGCTGCAGTTCATTTTATGCCCTTCGTGATACGTGGACAAGAGAGAAGAGAGAGAGAGGTTATGCCAACTGAGGGATCTAGTAGTTCTAAAATGGCAGCAGCCAAGCTTTCTAAGATTCTGAAAGTTGAGATGGATGCAACGGATGACGAGGATAAACCGTTGTACCAGACCCTCTACCAGAAGGAGCTGGCCAAAGAGGAAAAGAAGAAAGAGGCCAAGCGAAAAACCGCTCTTGAAGGTTATGAGGCCATCTCTAAAACAGCCTTAACCCAGTCTGATACAATGGTCAAAAGGGATCTGGTCACATATGTATGTGCCCTTATAGATTGTCACTTGTTCGGTGAACTCCCTAGTCTGAAGTCCCAATTATTGGACCAGGTGAGCCAATTGCGAACTCAGATGGCAGACATGGCCAAGGAGCACCGTGACCAGATGCAACAGATGACCAATCTGCATCAGGCCCAGATATCAAACTCCCTTCCCCTACCTCTATTGCTAACCGTCTATCCTTGCACCACTCCATACTTCTTCTTCTCCTTTTTGTTTTTGTTCTTTGTTGAGCTTAATTGCCAGTCTTTCAGGACCTGCAACAGGTGCAGATTCCGTTGCCGCTACAAGTGAGAACACAGGAAATTCTGCAACTGCTGCAGCCTTGAGATCGAAACCAGCAATGGCTGGTCCCAGCTATAAAAGTCCATACATGGACAAAAAGGCAGTGATGATATCGTCCAAATACGATGGTAAGGAAGATGTAGAGTCTTGTATGAGCTCCATGAGAGCTTAGTTTGAGGTACAGGGCACTCAAAGACTGAACCAGTCCTTGATCTTAGGGACAAACGTCGAGGCTGTCAAAAGGGGCTTTCTAGAAGTCCAAGCTATGCAAGTTGGGTATTCTAAGATCGATCTGGCGGAGTGGCTTAAAGTCACCCCGGCAGCCACTCTCTAAGAGATCCTAATTGCACAGTATAAGGACCCACATGCTGCAGCAAGAGTAAGGATCCAACTTGATAACCTCAAGCGCCGCAAGTGGCAGGGCACCATATACAAGTTGCAGTTGCATGTCAGCAAACTCTTTGCAACACCAGGTTTGGACCGGACAACGCAATCGTGCTTGGATGTAGTAAAAGGTACAGTTCCCACCACTTTCACAAATCGCATAGGCAAGGATTTCTTTGGTTATACTGATTGTTTTTCCTTGATAAAGGATGTAGTCAGTCTCGAGGCAGCAGACCTCGTTACCAAAGCAAGCAGCAAAAAACCTTCATTCGCGGACGGTTTCGTGGCAACAACCGTCTTGCTACACTTGACTTGCTGGAGGCTGAAGGGGAGGCCGAAGCAGATGACCCCACTCTTAGCGACAACCAAGAATAGGACGATGATATACCCTATTCTTCTGCCCAAGAATCCGAGATCAATAACGAAGAGGAAAATTTTGGTGCCTTCAAAAAGACTGCTCATGGTAAGGGAAACCAAAACCAGAACTCAGTAAGGAACTTCGTCGCACTCCCTAAGGGAGCCAGAATCCCAGCCAATCCGGAGGACGCAAGTACTAAATCTTGGGTTGACCTCCGGATCAGTGAGGCTGAATGGAAGGCTAGAAAGAAAGGAGGTTGCCTGCACTGCCAGAAAACTAATCATAAGGTCCAAGGATGCTTTAGGCTGCAGGGAAACCTGAATCGGGCATAGAGAGTTCATCAGCACACTCTACAGCAAGGGAGTCTGAACCGGTCAGTGATAGTTCTCCCAAGGAACATGTCACGGTCCAGCAGAAGCCCCAACTTCTGCTGATTTCAAGGCTAATGCCTGTCATGTCGGTGTGCAAGTTTGGCGACGCACTGGTTGGAGCGCTGGCTGGAGCAGCGCTAGCATCAGAGCAGTGCGGCTGGGGAAGGAGCAAGGACAGAGAGAGGAGGAAGACAAGGACTAGGAAGGGGAGCGTCAGAGGTACTTACCTGGCTATGGTGGTTGCCATCTTCATCACCTTGGTGGCCACTGCAGCAGGAAGGCCCCAGTGGGGTAGAGGTACACCAAGAAGCTTCGAGGCAGAGTCAGGCATGGCAGCCTGAGCTGGAGCATCCATAGCTGCTTTGTGTTGTCCTTTGCACAGCAGGGCAATGCCCTGGTAGTCCGCCATAGCCTCGGCCTAGGAGGAAGGAGGAAGAAGGGTGGCCATGGCTATGGTGGACCTCATGTGATACCTGCAGTAGAAGAGGGATTCAGACATTGATTCTGGTTAATCCATTCAACATTATTATTATTATTTCTTGTTTGAATAAGAGGGGAAGAGATAAGGAGGAGGAGAGTGGTTGGGGAAGAAGAAGGGAATTATCATTGGTCTATGGTGGTGTACATCATCTTCTTCTTCTTCTTCTTCTTCTTCTTTCCCTCTCTCTCCTCTCAAGTTCATTCATTTCTTTTTGCAGTTGGATGGCATTAACCTTTCTCATGAATGTGTACTTCGAAATTGGCCAGGATCATAACAAATCAAGTTAATCAACTCATGTGCAACAATAGAGAATGATTATTGTAATGAGGTGCACAACTGCAATCACCAGCTCTTATCTTATCAAGGATCCCCCATAGCTGCGATCCTGTCTGCTGTTTCTTCCTTTTTTTTTTAAATAGAGACAGGGAGGAGGAGGGGGAGGAGCATGTATGGGGTCAGGCATATGACTGATGTACTCGTATTGGTCACTTCTGATGCATAATTTCTTAGCAACGTTAGCATAGTAAAATCCAAGCCGATAGTGCCAGCATGGTGCTCTTTGCATGAGGCTGAAGACTCTAGAAAAAAGAGTCAGATGTTCAGTGTTTGGTTTGATGCGGAAGTGCATCCATGACAATTGTCTCGTCTCTGACTTCATAAAGCCCACGGCTTGTGGTGGTATTCAACTTTGCATGAAGTTTTTTAGTAGTTTTGAACTTGCTATTGATTGTTCCTTTTCTGTTGGGTTCATTTCTCTCTTGTGATTTTTGATGCGTTGCAGAACTCTCTTCCTATCTTCTTTCCAAACGTTGAAATTAGTGTCATTGATAATGCACTTGTTGTTCATCAAATCGATGCGAAGGTGGTGCTTGTGTACGACGTGCTATCAGGATCCATGCAGCCAGTTGGTCTGCCCCTTCCGCTGACAATAAGGGGGCTTCCTGTGTTGCGCACCACCCGTGGTCTACATGAAGGTGAGGATATCAATGCGGATGCATCAACATCTGGGCAAGGAAGTCATGGATACACTGAAGACTGTCAGGAGGCGATTGAGAGTGGTGTCGATGGGAGGGGGAGCGGGCAGCAGATGTGCAAGATGAATGACACTCTGCAGTCAGTTCGAGAGGTTTATGGTCCAGGATGGGTGTTTTTGACACCTGATTTGATTATAGACAGGAACGCAGGCCTCCTTTGGCGACTTCATCTAGACCTTGAGGTGAGAACTGGAACACAGTCTAAAAGTTGTGGCATGCATACTCCTTGCCCCCCCCCCCCCCCCCCCCCCCCCCCCCCCCCCCCCCCCCCCTCTCTCTCTCTCTCTCTCTCTCTCTCTCTCTCTCTCTCTCTCTCTCTCTCTCTCTCCTTCCTTTTGTTCTTCCCCTCCTTATCGTGTTCTTGCCTCTTCTCCATCCCTGATGATTTTTATCAATGCAATACTGAGGTAAGACGCAGCATGGTTGAAAGTGACGGGACGAGTCAGTTGTCAGTTGGCACTCTTGCTTCCTTCAGTTCCTCGAACCCTTGTTTCTCAAAAGACTGCATCACATTGACACCATGTGCTACTTGTAAGCTTGTAACATTCTGAGATAGCCATATGAATCCTAATCAGGAATGAATGACTGGATATCACAACCGAAACATATACATATTCGATGTTAAAACTCTGATGTAAAATCTGCCAGAGCAGTGTTTTGCATCATGTTGTGCTACAAGAGAAGAGTACAATATCACCACCCAGTTGCAGTCTGAGATGTCTGCACTTTTCTGAGAACAGTCTGCTGGCCTGATTTGCTGAGATTTCTGAGTCTGTTATGTTGTCGTTTATGTGTGTTCGAGAGTCTGTCTGACGTCTGCTGAATCTGAGTCTGTCCATGTTGCTTACTCTGTTCTTGGGCTGGGTTTCTGTACCCCACGAGGGGTAGAATAGTAAATAGGTGTAGTTACAAGGCTAGGACTGCATCATGGACGATGAGTGGACTTAAACCACCACTACCTTTTCCCATGTGGGCCTCTGTCGGGCTCCCGAATCCCTAGGAGGCCGAAACGAAACGACGGCAGCTGATGAGATTTATCAAAGGCGGCCATTGTTGGGCCCAGCCTCTGATTTTTTAGGAGTAGGATATTTTCCCACTTTCCCAACAGCGGGAAAGGTAGTGGTGCTTTAAGGGAAATTCTAGTATGGATAACGACAAGAATAGAATTTCCTGGCCCCTGTGCAAGTGCAAGGAAAATGAGCAATAGCGAGATGGCAAAATCCAGATTGCACAATCACATTGAAAGCCAGAAAGTATCACATTGTCCAGAAAGCAGCATTGCACCAATATAACACCAATGGAGAATCATAACACTGAAAACCGAATGCCAATGAGAGCTTGCTCTCGCCATCACCAACATAAATATCCAGGCCCTTCTCCCTACTTGACGCTCGGCGCCCAGCCTACTCCCTACACAACTACTATCTGCCTACTAATTGACAATGCAACTGTTGACGTCAGCAGCCAACGAAGTACTTTAAGATGCCGACCAATGGAGACCATCGCCAATACGGTATGTGCCCTCACATCATCATCATCATCATCGTCCTGCCTTCTCCCTCGACTTTCACCCACGTCTTCTTGTTGTACACCCGAAGACCACCCCTGCGCCTTGCTGTACATCCAAGCCCCAGCCAGCTATGGAGGCTGGGTTATGGCGCTGCCCTCAGCAACGCCCTTCCTCGTACACGACCGCACGTGCGCAGCACCTTGCCTTAGCGCAAGCAGCAGCCCGCGCGACTCCGCTCCAGCAGCGCTGCCGCTACCTTACAAGTGCCCGAATGAGCCTCCAGGCGGCGAGCTCTTCCCTATATGGAAAGAGTCTGCCTGCCTTCTGGCCTGGCTGGGCTGGGCCTGCGCCCAGATGTTTTGAACTTGGTTGTCTGACGATATTTACCGCCACTTACACACAGACAGTCTCATACACGCCCATACATACATAAGAGAAGGGGGAGAGGAGACAGAGTCCAACTGTACACATATCAGAGTATGTAGCGGAAGTTCAGCCATGCACAGATGGGGAGAAGACACTGCGAGATTCTCACTCTCTGACAAACTCCCAACAACCAATCACAAGAAGAAATCTGTGAGGATAACAATTGGAATTCACACTGATGAAGAGCGAATTAAACCAGATATCGTTACAAAGTTTGTTCTAGTATCTCGCCACACTCAGAACCCCACACTCCACTCTCTACCCTACACCTAGTTAGTAGCGCACAACCGAAACAGCCTCCCAGAGGCCAGCGCCAACCACCCAGATGAAGAACAGATCCTGCGATGAAATCTTCAGTGCCCATGGACAACTCTGACGAAGAAACAGGCAGCTATGGCTGCCGCCACCCACAAACATTCAGTGAAGAGCCTCCACATAGCCTGGCTAGACGCAGATACCCCCAGGGTAGATGCGCTGAGTGTGCCCCAGCTCCGACAGCCTTCAGACGGGCCAGCTATGGCTGTCGTCCCAGGCAAGGGTCTCAGGATGCCGCCTGCAGACAATTGCCACCGCCAACTTGCTTGGCTTCTCCAACCGCTGCTTCGCGAGAATGAACAGCCAAAAGTCCCGAATCGATTTTCCTAATCTATTAATAGAACTCTACTACTCTAGCCTAGACCTAGACCAGACTGACTGGACCGACCGGTACCGTTCCAGTTTCGGCCTCTCGGCCTCTCCCTACTCGGCTATAGGCTATCGGACCGTCTATCGGTATAGGCCCCTTTGGGCCTGTCCGTCCTAGGGGTAGCCCGGGTCTACTATACGCAGTAGGGATAGCTGTAGGAAATTCGGCTTAGTGTTGGGCCTAGATTTCCCATATTTGCAGATATGTTCCTAACGAATTTTCCCTATAGGTAGGTCTCTCGGTTAGCCCTCAGCCAAACAAAATGACGAATCTAATCTATGGCTGTTACTGTACAAGTCATTGCAGGCTTACCCCCCGGGGCAGCGAGGACCTCCGAGCTAGGGATGCAGACGAGGTGAACGGCGAGGAAGGTTGCCCTTCTGAGCCGCTTCATACCGCAGAACAACTGACTTTGTTGTCTTGAGAAGTTCTCTTCTGTAGAACCATCGGTTTTCGGTAGGAGGCTGGAAAGCGAACCTCACAAGATACTGCCGATCGGGGTTTGTGCCCCACTCATCCTCAATCCATTCCACATCATATCCCTTGCCAGGGATCGGTGGACCAAATTGAGGGGGCCGGTTTGGGAATGCATCAGCTGGGGTGAATGTGAGCAGCTTAGATGCATGGCAGACCGGGTAGGTTCGTAGATGCAGAGGGACGTCGATGACATAGGATGGGCCAAATGGATCAGCGCCCACTATATCTAAGACCTGCCATGGACCCAAATAACGAGGCAACAGCTTGGGGGAGATATCCTCCTCCCTCGACAACTCAGAACTGGCTACCCAGACATAATCACAAGTTCGGATGGGGGAAGGCCGCCTGTGGTGATCAGCTTGTTCAATCATTGCCTTTTGTGCTTTGAACAAGTTCGTCCGTGCTCTTTCCACATCTATGCGGTAGCGTCAAGTGAAGTCTGCGGTTAGCCTTATTGATGATATCATCGAGAGGCTGACGTGGTTCACGTCCCCAGTGCAACCGGTATGGATTGAACCCATTCGAGGAATGGGCAGACGTGTTATAAACAAGTTGTGTCCGAGCCGAGTGGAGATCCTTGTCCTGCTGATCTGAAGAGATGACAGGACGAGGCACTTGGAATAAGACTTGGTTCATCACTTCGGCCTCACCATTGGCTTCAGGATGATGACTTGAGCTCATGTCCAATCGTGAGTGCAGATAGTCCTTACAGTAGGACTGCCACTCATCGCTGCAAAATCGGGGGTCTCTATCACAGACTATAGAAGTGGGCGGTCCATGGTGTGTGACCCACCTCTCTGAAAAGGCTGCTCTCACAGTCGGGACTCTAGCTACCTCTGGTAAGGGGATGGACTCTGCGTATTTGGAGAACTTGTCCACGCAGACCATTACCTGACGCATGCCACGAGGGGTGGTCTTGCCTAAATCTGTGAAGTCAATCGACACAGATTCAGCAGGGCCTTCACGTATGGGTAAGGGTTTGAGTAGTCCCAGAGGAGGCCTACGCTGGACCTTGTTCCTCTGACAAAGCTCACAAGTTTCCACAGCGCAGCATCTCACTCCGCATCTCCTTCCAAAAGAAGCGTTGTGACAGGGCTGCATATGACTTTAAGAACCCAAAGTGACCACGGGCATCATGACACTCTGACATCCGCGGTGTTCTGAGCCGCTGATCCTGGGGAATGCACAAGCGCTCCTCCCCTATGTTGTAGGTATACAGTAAGTTTGAACTCAGGGCATAGCCGGGTTCAGAATTGGGATCCGCTTGCAGATTCCTGACTATGGGTCCATAAGTCGGGTCCTGAGGCAGAAGACGAGCAATGGTCTGATGGGTCTCCTCTCTGAAGGAGTGAGTGGAGGAGATCAGTGCAAAAGAGTCGGGCCTACGAGAGAGGGCATGTGCTACTTTATTGTAGCAGCCCTTCTTATGTTTCAGTTCAAAGTCAGACATGCCTATGAATTGAATATATCGTGCCAACTTATCATTTAACTCTCCCTGGGACTTCATCCACTGTAAGGTGGAGTGATCTGAGAAGATTTTGAAGTGTCTTCCCATAAGAAAGTGCTTCCAGTGTTTCAGGGCACAAACAAGAACATACAACTCTTTCTCGTAGGTAGAGTTCTGAAGCTTTTGAGTCTTGATCTTCTTACTCATGAACTCTACTGGTCGTAGACCATTCCCATCATCTTGCTGAAGAACTGCCCCAATGCCATACTGACTGGCGTCAGTGGTCAGGATGAATGGCAAAGTGGGGTCAGGCAACTTCAGCACTGGTGCACGAGTCAAGGCCTTCTTGAGTCGTGTGAAGGCCAACTGACAGGGAAGGGACCAAAGAAAAGGAGTKTCTTTCTTTATTAGGTTGGTCAGGGGTGCAACCACTGCAGAAAAGTTCCTGACAAACTTTCTGTAGTATGACGCTAAGCTCATGAAGGACCTGACATCCCTCACTGTTTGTGGYTGTGGCCACTCCTGAATAGCARCTATCTTGGCTGCTTCGGGAGCCAGGCCATCTCCAGAGATTACGTGACCCAGATAGATGACAGAGGGAACTCCAAAAGAGGACTTCTCTCTGTTAATCTTATAC